TTCAACTCATTTCACAATAATTATTCCAACGCTTCGGCGAATTGCCTTCATCAGGTTCACAATGATGTGCAAGCTCCCAAACCAGCATTGATAAAGGCCAACTCCGCTGTCAGAAGAGGGTGTGAGAAGCAGCGCGAAAAGACTTCAGCTAATAGCGCTAACATCGACTATAACTAGTATCAGTGGAGGGGACTACAGCCAAGGTAAAAACAAAAACAAAACAAAAAACACATTATTCAGCGCTGAATGTCTTGATATATCAGACAATAAGCGAGTGGCGATACAAATTACAGCAATGACCACCCAGCGTTTATAGTGTTTATCTTCGGAGCCAAATCTCTGATCCTTTCATTTAATACCTGCTTCTCCTCTGAAGAGTTCTCGTCACGTGATGGAACGAAACAAGACTTGCCAGGAGCAACTGAACTGCTAGCTGTCGTGGAGTGTGGTTGGTGAACTGTTCGTGCTGGTGTTTGCAAGCGTCGTGTGATCTCGTCTGGTCACAAGCAAAATATTCTACTACCCGTTACATGTGCTATGAGTCTATGACGGACCAAATGAAAACGGTGTCAACAAATTTAATAAACTAGAGACACGTTCCAGAATAAGGCGGAAAGGTGGGAGGAAACATTGGGAAGAATTGTACTTTGGCAGTGATTGAATCCATGGAGCTCAAGGTTCTTGCGGGATCCCTTGCTATACCATACTCGACAAAGTCCGCCACACACACACACAGCTCACTGTCGATCTGTTGGACGTCGGTGTGTGCGGATCGGCCCTCACCTGGTTTGCCAGCTACCTAACTGCACGAGAGCAGATGGTCTGCACTGGGCCAACCACGAGTCAGGCCACTCCCTGCACGTATGGTGTACCACAAGGATCTGTGCTAGGTCCTGTTCTATTTTCCATCTACACCCGCGACGTCCCCTCCGTCCTGTACCCTGTACCCAGCATCCAGTTTACGGACGAAATAGCATTGTATTCCTCACAGAGTTCTGTTGGGGCTGTCTCTGCTACGCTTACGACGGCAGTCACCAGCCTAGCTGTTTGGCTACAGGCGAGGGGCCTTGTGTTCAACCCTACCAAAAGCCGAGCTGTGACCTTTCTTCCTCACCGACAGGTGGACAACCCTCTCGTAACTGTCCAGTGTCGTGGAGTAGCCGTTCCAACAGCATCGACTACCACATACCTCGGTGTTGTCCTTGATAGTAAGCTTTCATGGGACGCTCAAGTCGATCGAATTGTCAGCAAGACTACCCGTAAGATTGGTGCGCTGTGGCGAGCCCGTCGCTCCCTATCCCGATCTGCACGTCGTCTCTTCGTCCAGGCTGTTGTCATCCCTGACATAGTCTATGGCAGTAACGCCTTCTTCCCCGCGCTCCTTGGTCGCCAGCTTGATCGCCTGGGTCTGCTACAGAACAGGGCTATCCGAGCTATCGACGGCCACCCACCCTACACAACCGTGCATTCCCTGCTGGTGCAGCACGGCCTGTACCGGATAGGCGAACTCAGCAAGCGCAAGCTACTAGTGTTTGTCTGGAGGTGCCTTCACGGGAAAGCTTGTGCCACGTTGTCTGTACTGTTCGTCAGATCTGCTGGCAGGAGAACCCGTCATCAGAGGTCCAGTGGTCTGCCCAGCCAGCCATCCTCCACTCGCTCTGGCGTTTCTCCGTCGTCCGTCGCAGGATCTGCACTCTGGAACCTGCTACCGGATGATGTTCGGACCATAGCAAGACAGAAAAAGTTTAGCATAAGTTGCCTACCGTATTGTTGCTCAGACTAGCCCGCCCCCTAGCTCTCCTCGACCACCCTGTCACCCCTGATACTCGCTTGACTCCTCTGTCAGATACTTCTTCTTTCGTACTTTTCTAATTCCTGTCCTCTCTATTCTAAATGCGGCTTATCCATTCGCCTTTTATCATTGGGCCTAGATCCCGTTTATTGTGCGAATTAAAATAAACCAACCAACCAACTCGTTCGCTTTCCGCTGCGCCACTCCTACCAGCTTGCCAATAATAGTCAACCTGCACGCAACAATCTTCCCTCTCACGTTGCGCTCGCAAGGTCTGTCGGTGTTCTTCCGTACTTTAACAATTAAACAGTCAGCATGGCGGCACTGTTAAACGTCAGCTCTCATCATCGACTGCTACACATCTTTTAACTTCTAAAAATCTATCTTCATGTATACCTGCTCTCCCCTTGTAATGGCATATTTTATAGGCAAGCCCGCCTGCTGACTCTTGGATCAGGGTCGGCTGCCTGAAGGTTGGCTTGTGCATACACCTTGGAGTGTCAGCCCAATCCTGAGTGGTTTTGGTTTGTCTGCGTCACCAGTCTTCAAGCATGTTCGGCCTTCAGCTTCAAAACCTTGCCGTACATGTACATGTACGTTGTAGATCGAAGTAGGTACTCCGTGCATGGTACAATTCGTTAGCCACATCCGAGGGTTTAACGGTTATCCTGTTTGAATGTGCGAAGTAACGTTACAATTATAGACAACCAACCAACTCTTTGAAGGTTAGGTATCCTTTTGAACGATCACAGCTGTAACGATCTGATGAGTCCGTCCGCCTTTTGTAAAGAAGGAAAGGCTTCAAGTCTAGGAAAGTAGTAGTACCTACTCTCTCATTGCTTTTTGATCCATTTGTTATGGTTTTTTTATTTCCTATATATTTTTCACGAAGAAGGCGGACAGCTCGAACGTACCGGCTTTCAATGAATTGTTTTCAGTTTTGCTCGTACAAGAGGCGGTTCCAGACTGAAACAAGACCGGGGGGGCGACTTCCCGGGGTTATGGGACGTGCATGAACGAGCTCCCCCTCGTCAACAGCCAATGTGGTCAGTCTGTTCAACAACCTAAGGCTAAGCCTAACGTACATTGTAAGCGTTGCCATCCAGCCAGACTCGATAACACTTTCGAAGTATTCAGCCCAGGATGTGGTGGATAGTTCGTGTGGCCAAGACAAGAGACTCATTGATCGTACCTGCATGACAAAATTCTGTCTTTTGAAAAAGGACTTCAAAATATTGTTGTCCAAGATGTAAAGGATGTATCGTATCAAAACGTACACAGAACGTTATCTTCCGGCTTGGTACAGAAGGGCCTTGAATAGCGATCTTCGCAACAATCTGCACTCTCCCAGCGGCGCAGTCGGATAACCGGGCGGCCCTGTGAATATATAAATTATAATGTCATTCATTTATGCACTGCTGCATGTATGTGTACAAGCATACATTCACATGCATCGCTATGTGCATACATTCACATGCATTTGTACGTGTGTCGGTTTGCGATGGTCTCTCAGCACGCAGGGTGAACCGGCTTATCACTATCTAGACAAAGTGCAGCTATCAGGGCAAATAATGGACCCCGATCTGCCTTATACTGATAGGATCATAGTTCTCTTTACAAGCAGCCTGCAGTGTGCTTTGTTTTCTCAAGCCAGTCAAGGCGCTAGGCGACTTGTGAAGGCAAAAACCAGCAGTCTCTAATGCCGTCCGTCCACCAAATGCAAAGTGTTTCATGCATTACGTTCCACAGCGTAATTCCACAGCGTAATTTAGTTCATGGCTGTTCCAATATCGCAATCTCCTGACCGCATCGGTGGCACCATAGCATAATATGGAGGAGGGATCAGCCTTTATAAGCTGGCAATATACGCGCATGCGCGTTCTACTGCATGGACATGGGAAGGAATAACAGTGCACGACGGCACTAGACAAGTATTAGTTAACTTATAGCCAATAATAGAGTCTGGCCTCCGTTTGGTTGGGGAAAACTACTTATTTTGCAAGTACACGACAAGAACATGACACTGACAGCATCCGCTTGAGGACGAATTCGCACGACTACTGTTCCGAGTAACTAGTCTACCAGTAGCACTTGCTGTCTGGCCCTGAACCGTGAGGACAAGAAACGTTTATGTAGATGTAGTTATTATGCCTGTTGGAGCCTCAACAGCAGGCCTGAAAGTGCCTGGCAGTACTCGCACTATGGCTCGAGGTGTAGCCACGCTGGACTAAAACTGTGTGGTTACGAAGAAACGTGTGCAGTAAAATAACTGCTACAATTGTACGAGTTGTAGGACCTTAGCACAACGTACCCTCTTTTGAACCAGGACCATTATTAATAATTCATTCTCTAGAGAACTGATAGTACAGTGCCAGAAACGCCGGTTCGGTCGTGTCAGATGTACATGATGGTACATGCGTGTAGCTAGCTGCTTTACGACTAAAAATAATGTAGAAACTAGGCAGTGTCTCCCTGAGTTTCCTAAGCCTCCAGCCTCCCGGGAAAGTTAGTGACTTGCTTGGTGTCTGATCCGATGGCGATGGGCAGTAGAGTACGTGCGATGCGGCTGAAGTGTATGTACGGGGTGCATGAGAGTTCTTCCGTCATTGGCGGTGCCTACCAGTACCTAGCCTGGTTTGACGGCTCAGCAACGTGATAAGACAAACGCGCGCGGTTTAGGGGAGGTTTGCGAGTTCGTGCGTTTGATTCTGTCTGGCATATCTCCCTGTCAATGCGAAGCAGATCAGCACATCCGTGACAAACACAGCAGAGTGCCTGCAGAAGCTACCGACTCGGCGAGAACTTACTTTCAAGCAAAAAAGAGGTTGCTTGGAGAGAAGACATAGTTATCTGAACCACCGGCATGCACTGATGAAGATAGGACTTGGTCAATACATGAGGTCGGAAGTAAAAATAGTTCATAATATCCTGCGCAGTAGAAATTGCAGAGCAATGCTAGACGAGAGCTCGAATCTACTGCGACAGCAATATTCGATGGCTTGCCAGACTGAGTGATCGACCTCCATTATTTTAGCTGGCGCACGCGTAGGCGGACGTGTGCACAAACATGCACTCGCACCAGCACGCGCGCGGGCGCACGCCCCAGGTACGTCTAAAGTTTCAGGCGGGGACGAATCGTGTGAAGCAAGGTGCCACCCGAGATAGAGCGGTGCTTCAAGTATGGTTGCAAGGCGATAAGACAAGACTGGAGAGTGAGCACGATGAGGGTGGCGTGATTTAGCAACATGCCGAATAGCTGCCATGCTGGTCGGCGATAGCTTCGGTGCTGTCGCAAAAAGAAATCAAGCGACATTCCTGTCCGTTGACGATGAAGACCACAGAAGACCTCAGAAGATTTTCGCTTTCACCTCAGAACCTGAAAGCACTGGGAAAAGGCTGTTGCACATTAGCTAGTTTTCGTTTTCAGTCCACCCTGAGCAGATTTCCTTTCCAGAGGGGTCGGCGAGAATATGTATCGTTCTTGCCTGCTGCTAGCTTTGGCTGGCCTTTTCCTGTCCGCCTTACTGGGTACTGATGGCAGATACTTGGGAAATAGCAAGAACAACGACCCTGTGCGAATCAGCGTTAGGTCCAGTAGCGACGATGCAGGAGAGTCTCTAGACTCCGCGGAATCTGCATCAGACGAAGACAGTGATTCCTCAGCCGACAGTACTAGCAATGCCAATCAAGGAGCCAACTGCGTTAACTGTGTTCAAAATGAAGGTGGCGGTGGACAAACAGGCGGGGGCACAGCGGATGCCTGTGGTCCAGTCCAAAGCTGCGAATCAGTTCCAGTGTTCACGTCCACGTTGGCGGTAACAGTATTCAACAATGTGGTGGTGGCGGGCCTAATCGACAATCAGCCCCAAACAGGAAGCATTGCGGACACCTTCTCGCAGACACTGAACGAATTGCAGTCAAGTGGTGTTTCGGAATGCTCCGCCTGTACCAACAATGGCAGATCTTTCTTCTGCACCTACAACTTTCTGACAGGGCCTACCAGAGAAATGACATTGCAACTGGATGTGGAAGATGTAAACGCCCAGCAACTCGCTGTTAACCGAATCATCTTCCAAACTGTGGAGATCCCAGTGTACGGTCGATTCCGCGTTACCTACACCAACCCAATGTTGCGCGCTGACAGAAAAGCGTTCCTGTCCGAACCTGACTCGATCGAAGTGAGGCTGCCAGGATCCAATATCTTCATTCCGTTCAGTCAAACAATGGGTCCGCTTCGGGTGAGTTATTCTTCACACACACACACGCACGCACGCACGCACGCACACACACACACATATACAGAACATAATCATGTGTGCATGTACAGTTGCGCTCGGTGAAATCCGACCCAAAGTGCAAAGCTGGCGCCCTGTACCACTTCAGATAACATCATTGTATTTGAAAATGGGTACGTCCAGCCGCATTTGTGCCACTTCCAGGGTGTCAAGGGCCGTACAAGTTGAGAGCGCCAAATATGCACTCTGGATCGGATTTCACCGAGCACAACTGTACATAGCCTACGTGTAGTATACCAGAGTGATGCATATGAACCTATAGATTATTACAATCATGTACATGTACATACGGTGATGCTGACCAGCAAAGTGCGGAGAGAGAGAGAGAGAGAGAGAAGAGAGAGGGAGAGAGAGAGAGAGAGAGAGAGAGAGAGAGAGAGAGAGAGAGAGACGGCTGGGTAGTGGGTACGAAGCCTTGATGTCGCTGTCTACCAATAGCACATGCAATTTACCAGCAGAAGATTAAGGTTATCATTAGCAATTATAAGGGCAGGCATGACCGGATACACGTGGCCAGTTGCCTGGGAAAATCGACCTTCGGGGGACATTGGGGTGAAAACCAGTTTTTTTTTTTACAAAATCTCATTGATATGGGTATGGACTCATGGAAAACGAAATATTAGACCGGCTAATGTATTTTTTCAGTATGATATGGCTCATTTTATGCGAGTACATGTATGTCCCAATAAGAATTTGTGACAAATGTAACTTTTGTCAAAAGGTGTTTGCATATATCACCTCTGGAACATAGAACATGGCTAATGATTCAAATATCGAGTATAATATGACCGTTAGCTTCGGGATAAACTGAAAATTACTACATTGGGTGCTATTGGGTGCTATTTTTGTAACCTGTTATCTTCCGCTTGCTGTTTCGAATGATCTGGATTTCGACAAGACTACAATGCACCGCTCATCAAACACGTTGTCACATCCCAGAATTCCAGTTGGTGATGTATGCATGTAGAAGTGAGCCACAGAGAAGCACCCAATGTATGGTCAGTGTAAGACAGACTGATCTCGGAGGTCACATGGTTCGATTGTGGAACGACGCATCATAGCTTCGTAAGAGCAAAGCCATTCGACTCAGAGAACTGGACTACACGCTATGACTGCCATCCCTGCAGTGCTTCGAAGAGCTTTTTCATCCGTTCACGCAATCTGTTACTGTGCGGCACCCACATCTTTGGGGAGCCCACAACAATGACATCGCGGCTTAAAGTCTAAACATGGAGTGCACATAATCATGACTGGTATTTCACTAATGATATACAAGTACATGACCGTACTCCAGCCTCCTCAGACTGACAAAATTGTCATCAACCACCACACCATAACCGCGCTTTCCAGCCGACCTCGACATGGCGACTCGACAGGACTCGACACAACGCATGGCGCAGTCACTTGGTGTGACGGTCGATGAAAATTTGTACAAGGCTGAATGCTGCTGCTTACCCATTTCTCCTCAGAATAAGAACACTCAATTCAGTGCCTAGATTACTAGAGCAATACAGGTTCTTAAATTTAAAAAAAAAAACTTTGAGTCTTTCCATTCACTAGTAATCACATGCCTCCTGAACTGACCATCAGAAAGGCTAGCTTCAGAGGGCATGATGGAGGAGGGAACCTCAGCCAGCTGAAAAGGTCCTACCGCAAAGGCAAATGACCAGGGTTTACAGTAAAGCAACCTTTAGACTCGTAAAATTGATATGTACAATCATGCAGTGGGTTGTACCCGTCGCGAAGCATCAGCAAAAGAGGAACATGATTTTGGGAGCCTTTTTCACGAGGGCAGCCTCAAACATGTGGCCACAAGTGTGTGTGTGTGTGGATAACACCAGTGCCAATGAAAGCAGACTTTCGGGGGAAAACCTGTACTAGTATAATGTACTCGATGGCATGCATCAAACCAGTGCTGCTTCTGCTGTTTCTGGTGCTGCTTCTGCTGTTTCTGGTGCTGCTGCTGCTGTTTCTGGTGCTCCTGCTGCTGTTTCTGGTGCTGCTTCTGCTATTTGGGTTTTGCTGGTGTGATTGGTATTATAGACGGAGTGCTGCTGCTATTTGGGTTTTGCTGGTGTGATTGGTAATATATTTGGGTTTTGCTGGTGTGATTGGTATTATATTTGGTTTTTGCTGGTGTGATTGGTATTATAGACGGAGTGCACAGTCACAAGACAATGCGGTTCTAGTTTCGACCCCAACGCTGTCATCACTACACCGCCACAACTTTTCCCAGAAGGCGTTTCACCACCAAGCGATGACGACCTCCGATCAAGCCAAGCACTGATTTCGGGAACAACGCTGAGTGGCCTGGCTTGTCCAAATCTATGAACAATCCGACGGCCAATAATTGCACACATTGGAAAAGGCGAGTTACCTTTCGCACGTTAGCGACACCGTGCTCCTATAATACCCCTGTCCCTCAGACTCATATCCCTGTCCTGCACACTTATATCCCTGTCCTGCACCGAATACAGCAATACAACCATTATAGCTATACATGTAGCCAATTACAGCTACACTGCAGCTGCTTCTCTCACGTTCTGCTTGTTCAGTGTTTCCTTCTATCCCAACCCATGGCGGCCATCATGTATGTGCACCGAAATATTTTCGCTGACGCAGCCTCCCAGCTCTTGAAAGGTGCACTGTACCTGAAAATTCTGGCTCCCAGCCTCGTTTTCAAGTCTGGAAAATAACGTTAGTAGCACACAGAAAAGTAAAATCAGTGCTTTCTATATCTCAAACTATCTTTCCAATACGTGTATCTCTATCTGCAGTACATAATCATGTATGCTTTCTACCCCACGAGATTTTCCCATAATTTTTTTTACTTTCTCCGGTTTGACGGTAATAACTAGCCTATCATGGTGACTATTATAGCTGTTATCTAAATCAGTGAAATAGCTATCTGTCCATGTATGTACATGGAATCTTGTTCATGCATAGTGATGTTCAGCTTGCTTTCTGGTCCCCACGCAAATACACGAGATCGCCAAGTAAGAAGTGCGCGATCTGCATGACAAACGCTCGTACTTCACGAGGAAAAGGAGATGATATCAGTACGGAAGATCGAGAGAGTGAAGTGTTTTAGTCTCGTTCACCGAGTCTCCATATTTTGAGAACTCATCAATGTGACTGCAACGCATGTTAAAATGCTGAGGGGGCCATGTGAACCCTCCACTATCGCACACAAAGCATGAAACTCTATGGTACGGTTGGACCAATCGAAAACTGCTTCTGCAGGTCCTGTACTGGAACCTGGTACAGTACCCTCTATTTCTCAGTCATGGTTCTAGCCCATACCACTATTCGCCTTCCTGGAAGTGGAACGATAAGTATGCTGCCACATACTTCAAGTAAAATTAATTGGGAACTCGTGGCCTGGCGTGACGGCAACATGAAATGCTGCGAAAGGGATTTTCGGTCCGTTTGACGACTTGGTGGTGACTCTGATATACTCACCTCCCACTGCTTTAGGAGCCGCAGCTGCACATTGATCATTGCGGGTGGTGGCGTTCATGCGGATGCGGAAAACCTGGTCTGACTGAGTCTCAAGTGCGGAGCCATGAAAAAAGAGAGTAAAATGTGATTAGAGAAGCCGGCAGCTTAGCTTTGCTGGACTGGTAGTGGTGAAATGTGACGTCACGGGACACTTGTCGCAGACAAGTGCAGAATTTCACGGTGCCGTATAACAAGCAGCTTGAAATTACGGTGAATATAGCTGCCCCACACACATGCCAAGCAACCATGAACTATCCCAGAAAAAAAGTTAACAATCAGGAGTTGAAAGAGAACAATGTTTCTGTTTCTACGAAAGAGCAAGCAACCAGCTTGCTAGAAAAAGCAGTATAAACCATATTCGCTATGAGTTAATATCCATAAGCCAGGAGCAACTATATACTTATTGTCAAGGCTTCACCATCACTCCGGCCAGGAACAGGCAAGATTTCTTGATGATTGCATCAAACATGCGTAGCCCACTACATGCGTATAGAAAAGCATTTTCCTTCATGAGAAAGCAGCTAAATGTTTCTATTCAGCAGTGTTCTAAAGTCTCAAGAAGAAAATAGTCTACCATCTCCACAAACATGCACTCTTACAGCGGGATACACTCCGTGATCAGCGACTGCCCGAAGACACAGCTTCATAAACCAGAGTAGCTCAAGAAATACATAGCAATACACATTATCAGCATCAACGAGCAGCCAATACACTTGCAGCCATGATAAGCCAGCAGATCCTCCACTGCAACCTACTGTATAAATATTAAAATAGTTACGGCACACCGGAGGAATGCTGGTGCGCAGATGCCCGGCACCTGCTGTAGTGCCCAGAGAAAGACACTCGGTGTTCGGCTGCAGCAAGAAAAGATCCTCGAGCAGCGATGTGTACAAAGTATGTATCCCATACACTATACACCTACGAACGGAAGTAAGCGATAACTAGTATTTTGCTTGGCCATTTAACCACTGTGCAGTGTCAGAAATCTCAGATATTGTTAGTCAAGGGAGTCTCGTGGTACGTCTGAGCACACCGTATGATGGTTCACCAACACGACTCATATTGCAATTTCTATGGTGGTGGTGCTGCAGAAACGCATGGTGGTCGAATTGTTTAGTTGAGTGAACCATATGCAATGCGCAGTACAATATCCATTGTCCGATCATTCTGCAGGAAAAGGTCAGAACACGCAAGATCGAGGAAACAAAAGGCTTCAAATAGCAGATGAAGAAGGAACTGACTTCAACTATGACCTTCGGTGAGAAACACGTACATTTTGAGTTTGACCTCAGTGAAGCTTCGCGAAAAACGTAATGCAACAACACAATAGCAGCGTACATCAAGGTGATTGATCAAGCGTCTGCCTCCAGCTGATTGAAGTCAATGATCCTTGAGCGTTTTCATCACTGGTGCACCATGGAGCAGTGTGCCCAGGCACACGTGAGTTCCAACAGTTATTTAAATACTGTGGCTGCATCAGAATAGTCCGATACATGCAATAGCGTTGCTTTCATGTGCCGTGCTTTGTCAACTAACCAAATTAAACAAGAAAGACATCACCAAGTCGGAGCTTGAACCACAACATGCATACGAGTGATGAACACTTTATTATTGTATTTGTATTTATGGATTCTCCACAGGCGTTGGCCTAAATCAAGGGAGTCTCGGTAACTGTTGGCGGGAGCATGCTTTTCCATACCACCTTGCCCGCGTACCACTATTTTGTAACTGCAGAGATAACTTACATTTCAATATAGGTAGCTGCAGGTGTCATAGCACAACAGCACTTAGCGATGCCCGGCCTTCAAAGTCTGATGATGGTGACGGTGTGTAGGCAGGAGATCCAGAGCCATTTGACAAAGCACGCCCATTTCCAGCACCTGAGAGCAAAATCACATACAGTTGCAATAGAGGTTACGGAAGTTCACACAAGCACACACACACACACACACACACACAAACGCGCGCGCGGCGCGTACGCGAATGCCCACAGAACCACCCAGAACCACACACTAAAACCAACACGCTCCGAAAAACATCATGGTGCTTTTCAATAAAACGGGAGCACAGTATTATTGTTTTGAAATTTAAGGAAAAATATTTCTGTTTGGGGGATTTTCTTGGTGCACTGGAACTTACTTAGGAGTAGCGACGGCAGTACTATTTGGTGAAATTGGTTCACGCTTCCTGCTGAATTTGATACTTGACTGCCTCACAACTGCCATTTGGAGCACACGATGAGCACGTTGAACCTGGGGCCTCGAGGGTTTTTTCGTACTGGAAACTAAGCACAACGTTATGTTTGTGCTCCAAGTGACTTTTCGGCTGTTTGAACACGTTAAAAATGAAGTGCTCCTGGAGCACAAATTCTGTTAGCCTACACAAACTCAACTGCTAAGGGGGAAAATCCCCTAGACGCTGTGTAGAGAGCAGGGAGTGATGCTTTCTTGCATGTTTGCAGAGTGGAAGGTCTGATGGGCTCAGCGTGTGCTCCGAATGATGGCAGTCGTGAAATCAGTCAAGTGTCAAGTTCGGCAGGAAGCGTGAGCTCCACGTACGGACGACCGAGTTCAGCAAATGAGACTTGTCTTTCATTTTCTGCTGATGTATTCACTAGGAAATACGTGTATGCTGTATTTCTCCAGCTATATGTCACACCATTTTATGACGTTGTGGGCAAAGATGGGGATATGACTTACAATCGAGTGTGACAACGTACTTGCAGTGTTCACGCCATATAAGCGCACGGGCCTATATCCGGATATAAGCACACCCTCACATACAAGCGCATGGGCTCGTAACTGAACATAATTCACGTTTCCGGTATCACTGTACCGATAATGACAAACTCATTCTGGAATTACGAAGTATTTAAAGGTGCTATCCGCAGGGACAGCATCAAAAAATGCTCTAAAAAGATCCGGATATAAGCGCACCCCTCACATATAAGCGCATGGGCTTAAAAGCAATCTTTTTCTATATTCGAAGTGGCGAAAACAGCAATACCGTAAAGTCTTGTATAAAAGCCGCACTTGAATAGAAGCCGCCCTCGAATAGAAGCCGCAATTTTGGGCCCATCAAATCACACATAAGCCTGGTTTTAGTGTTGATATAATATAGAAATACGTCGTGTCTTGTATAGAAGCCTGTCTCATATAGAAGCCTGCAAAATTTCACCAAGAAAGTCATAGAAGCCGCGACTTTTATACAAAACGTTACGGTATTCCAAATATAAGACCATGGGCTTATACGTGCGTGAATACGGTATGTGAATTATTATATTGAAACAGTATGGCGCAGACCTGAAATTGGGGGTGTTCCCTTCGCTATCATGTTATCAGGCAACGATCCTGTTAGACTTTGCGAAGTAAAATAAAGAATATATACATACATACATATGCCTTTATGGCCGAAACAGCTAGCTGTCTACAGCATTGGGTATCACGCTCCTCGGCTTTCGCCTTGTTGAGCACTCTCAGTAGGCTGCTCTAGTGCTGCTGCATCGCGCAATGCCCGCTACTTTTTGTAGTTTGAGCACTCTGGCGCTAGAGCGACGAGCTATCTTAATGTCTGTGGTGCCTCCTTTGCACCATGGCTGGTAGCTCGGCCTATTTAGCTCGTAGCTGTACTGATGAGGCCTTTACGGCCGAAACAGCTTGCTGTCTACAGCATTGGGTATCACGCTCCTCGGCTTTCGCCTTGTTGAGCACTCTCAGTAGGCTGCTCTAGAGCTGCTGCATCGCGCAATGCCCGCTACTTTTTGTAGTTTGAGCACTCTGGCGCTAGAGCGACGAGCTATCTTAATGTCTGTGGTGCCTCCTTTGCACCATGGCTGGTAGCTCGGCCTATTTAGCTCGTAGCTGTACTGATGAGGCCTTTATGGCCGAAACAGCTTGCTGTCTACAGCATTGGGTACATATATACATATATACATACATCATATTCGGGGAAATACAGTATCAGGGAGGTTAAGGACTCTGAAAGACGTTCGGGGTCCTGAACTGGTACATCAAGTGTTTTCGACATTTTCGATACCTGTACTCCGCAGAGTGTGTACAGATCTCAGTTTGCGTGAATGCTAGAAGTCTGTACATTACCTCTCGCTAAAGCATGTGCACCAGAGTTCTAGCCAGCGTTCCACGCAGACCTGTTCGAGACATTTGCATTGAAACCTTGGAGCAAAAGGATGCTGAACTGACTTCAAAAATACTCACCCAGGGAACACATTGATGCTGGAGATCTAAGCTTGCTTGGTGATGGCACAGGAGAAACATCCTTAGCCAGTTTTGCGCGGGCATGGAGCGAAGAAGCGCTGGTGTATCTTGGTGCAGCCACTCTAAAGTGCTGGCGTGTCAAACTTGAAGTTCTGCAAATCAAAACGATGGTTACAAAAACAGGAAACCACCTATGCAATCACTAATGCCATGGCCATGAAAATGCTTGCATGCGCGCACATCAGTAACGATGAATCAGAGACCCTTGGTCGGCGGAGTTACTTCTGCCCCGCCCCCACTTCCATCGAATATGCCACTGCCCCCGCTGTGCAGCATCTGATGCTTCTGTGGTATTAACCCTTTATCGACTGAACTCAATGTATGTGGAGAATTGTGCCCTCAACTTCTTTACCTTGATTTGGATGTAACTTTGGTTGCCCTAGGCCAACTTTCATCATCTTGGGCATCCTGAAAAGCCCCTGACGAGAGGAACACCAGGAGCCCAAACTCGAGTCCAGAAGATGTGCTGGAGCAGGTCTGCAAGCCAGCGAATGCGTTTCAGTGCGAGGCTCGCGCTCTAGATCGATCTTCATCCGCCATTTCACTTTCCTTGCTCGTATGAAGCTCAATTTTTTTGTAGGCACTCGCGGGAATTTGAATGAGTGAATCCTCGCCAACAGCTGACGAGTTCAGGGAAAATCCCGGCCGTTCAGTCACGCATCGCAGCCGTGAGCGCCAATTGACCATGACCAACGTTACGTGTGTTGTAACTCACTCACTGTTAATCTTATCACTCCGGCGATTCTTTGAGATGACAGCTGAGAGTTTTTTCTTCTTTCCAACATATTTCGTTCTCTCCAAACGACTGAGAATTGACCAAGTTACGATAGTTGGAAATTATTGAAAAAGGGTAGAATTTATCGATCAAATGGGATCGATAAAAGTATGTGTCGTCCATAAAGGGTTAAATGGGGAAAGTCCCAGGTTGATCGAAGCAGCCGCTACCGAGTTATACCAGCTTGAAGTTTGCACTAAATGTGGTGACATTATGATGACATCATTAACTTGCCCAGACTAGGCCAGAGTTATGACATCAGAGAGATAGACTTTGATGGGAGTAGATGGGGAAAAACCAATTTTTTTCTTGTTTCTCTGAAACAATGAATTTCATACTAGAATTTTTCCAGTCGGGATACCGGTAGGGTGCTATAATGTCCCATCCTGAAGTTTGAAAAAGATTCGACTTCTTTGGGACAATGGGGGAGGCAAAATACTGAAATTTCCGCATCTACTCCCATACAAAGTCTATCTCTCTTACGTCATAAATCCGGCCTAGTCTGGGCAAGTTAATGACGTTATCACGATGTCACCAAATTTAGTGCAAACTTCAAGCTGGTATAACTCAGGAACGGCTGCTCCGATCAACCTGGGACCTCTCACCATTGGAATCAGTGCATATCTTGCTACAGGTTGTGAAGTTTTCAATTTAGGGTGAACTTCCCCTTTAAGTAAAAAAAAGCAGTCATCCAAGCAGATTATGCCGCTTGGAGTAGCTCACCCACACAAACATGTGCTCACCCTTGACCATAGCCGACCGCAATGGTGGAACAAGGACTAAGCAAATGGCAACGAGGTAAGTATTGTAAGTGAAAGTCGACCACTTAACCTCTTTAGCACGACGCTACCTGAGCGCGCCCCACGACAACACCTGTAAAAGTCGCATTTTCCCATGAAAGTACTAGCTGCTCAAGGATCGATAACTTTACCTTCCCTTGGACGAATTCCACGATCTTGAGCTTCCTGGAAAGGTCTTGAGACGTGTGACAAACTGGTGTCAAACCTAGCTCAGAGCGAAACCAAAACCCCGTGCTACAGTCTGGCAAACTTCATCCACGCGCTCGACAGACCTGAGCACGGCCAAGACTAACCAAGCTCAAATATTCAGCTGCCATTTCGGTCTCCTTGCTCGTATCGAGCTCAAATTTTTTGTGAGGACTCACGGGATCCACTACCATCATTTGAATCTTGTTTCCATGGCAGCAGGTAGCGCACAAATGATCCATGATGGAAAATACGCGTTCTGCAGACTGCGCAAAAAAATCGAGTTGAAATTTGCCGTGTCGAGTCGCATATCTCAACAACCGGTAGTCACATCGCTTCGGCGATTGTTTCTATCGCCAGCTGAGAGTTTTCTCTTGCAGATACATGTTTCGATTGTGAGAATCGACCAAGTATTGAGTGAGTTACGATAGTTTGAACAAGTCACTATGGACTCAACACGGACCCCACGACTATGAGATGCAGGTTCACTGTACAGTGTACAGCGCGCGTCGTACTAGTACGACGGCCGTGGGGCATGCAACTCATGTGCGTCGTACTAGTACGACGCTCGCGCTAAAGGGGTTAATAATGTATTACTCACCTGGCGAATTCTGCCTCGGGTTTCTTCGTGCCATCAGGGAGGAATGCATCGTCAATCACCTGCTTTTGTGTTCTTCCACTGTCATGGAGACGAGAAACAAACAAAAAATCAGCTAGGAATGGTGGGTGCAAGCCTAGCCATTGCCAATCACAGATGGGATCATTGGGCCCAGCGTAACACAAGCTCCAGCTAAAAGAAACCTTGACTAGCCGGACTAGCATTTTCCAGAGATTGTAGGTTCACATCCGGGTTTCTTTCTTTTCTTTCTCATTCATTTGTGCCAATATCAGTAACTAAAGCAGACGAGAAGTAACCAGAAAAGATTCAAAAGCACGGAGGATTATTCTAACAAAACAGATTATCCGGACGCACTGTCAAGTTACCTGGCCAAAGATTAGGGATAATTCAGGTTCAGTTGTACTAGATTGTAGGTTTCGAAATTGGCTCCTCGTTGGTAGCTCGACTTGGAGGGGGGGGGGGGGTTGGGGTTGGGGAGGCATCCATAATTATAATCCCCTTAACAGAAGATAGGGGGAGGGGAAGGGGGAAGGTAATAGGATACATGTACTGGTATTCAATTTGCTCTGGACTATCATCTTCTACATGCTTGTTCTACACAGACAGCAATGGGGAGTACTAGCTCAGCACACTGCACTGTGTGGCTTGCTGGACTGCCTGGGAAAGGTTCCCTTTTGTCCTGCAATTGTAAACGGTGAATATATTAGGGAAGAGCGGTTTTCTTTCCTGAGCAGTCTACCAAACCATGCTTATAATACCCTGGTATGTAGAAAGAATCTGTCATTCCTTCTTCCCTATCACATAAATTTACAGCAAAGGAAAGCAGAGCTCTATAGACTTGTTTCTGCAGCTAGTAAAAGTGTTACGAATTTGTAGTACGACTATGATTTACGCATGTCGTTGTATTTGGTTCTTGTCTTGTGGAGTCCAGTGTCTGATGTCATAATGGTCTAAGTGTACGCGCGAGTATGGTGTGATGTGTGACGTTTATGGTATGTGGTGCATGCAAGAGTACGCGTAGTCAGAGTGTGAGGATGTGCTTCCGTCTGTGTGAGCGTGACTGTCAAGTGAATGCTATACATGCGCAGTGCTAGTTTGGTCTGGGAATGAGAGTCATGTGTGATTCGTCCGTGGTCTGGTTGTCTTGGCCTTGGTCATGTGTTCTGTACGTATTAGTCCCTGATTGGTCGTTTCGATGTGTTCGCCCTTTTCTCTGTTCTATAACTGTTGGTTGTTTATTATTTCTTTGTCTTTTCTCCCCCGTTCTCCCGCCCACCAGTTAGTTATTTATTACAAGAGATCTTATTCAAGAAACTGTGTCGTCCTCTTGCCCGCGTGGATGAGTCGGAGAGTGGTTGTGTGGCGGGGAGCGGGGGAAATTCCTTTACATTGGCGCCCAACTAGTGATCGTAACCCACGACCCTGAGTTCGTTTTCATTTAGCTGTGGCTTCGACTGCGAAACAACTATACCTATAGTTGTTCAGTTTCGACAGTTTATTTTATTTTCTTCGTCCAACTCCCTTCACCGAGATGGTTACTACTGGCAGTCCTGAGGCGTTCACCCGATGGTTACTACTGGCAGTCCTGAGGCGTTCGTCAAACGCCCCCTTACCCGGTGAGTCGCTCCCAGTAGAGGGTTTGGTTGTTGTATGTTCGTTGTGGTCCCGTCGTCTCACTCGATAGAGCATGAGCATCATGTCGACGTACTCGGGGTAGTGCCTCTTGGCAAGTTGCGCTTTATCTTTTCGCGCTATCGTTCCGATACCATCAGTCTTTGTGACGGCGATCCGGTTCTTGTGTCTCTCTTGTGTCTTTCTGTTTTGGTTTTTGGCAGTCAGTGTACGTATATTTGCTGGGGTTTGTGCAGTTTCTTGATTAGCCTTTCAGTGTAGTCGTGTACCTGTTTGGTTTGTCAGCTTAGTTCGGTTTGGTCTTTCAGTGAGCGTCTTTTGTTTATCTTGTTTTGTGTCGACCTGCTGGTTCGGTTTTGAAGTTGCCACACACGCATTCCTGTGATGGTTTGTAGGATTCTCGTTTCGGATCCAGGTTGAATTTTTTTGTGAGCGTATGGTTTTGTAATAATTGTGTTTCGGCATGTGGGTCTCTCTAGTTCGTTTGGGTGGGCGTCTGATCATGGTGAGCCACGGTCTGCCTGGTGGTCTGCAGGGATCCTGTGTTTTGTTGTATCGGTTAGCCTTGCGGGTGTTATGGTTTCCGCGTGTTGCTGGTTGGCCCTTGCGCGCCCCAGTCGGTCCCTGACAGTTTTTTCTCGGTTTTTTCAGGTTCAATCCCTGTGGTTTTTTCAGGTTCAATCCCTGTGGTTTTTTCAGGTTCAATCCCTGTGGTTTTTTCTCTATAATATTATTTGCGTATTGGTGACCAGTTGTTTGTTTTGTTCCTGCTGTCCTCACCTTGTACTGATCAGATGCTGCTGTACCTGTGTTTCTTTTTTTTGCCCTGCTTGGCGCACCAACAACAACAACCGACTGGCCAAGACGCCGATTTCCCAAGATTCTGCTTCCGTGAAGGCTTCCTATTCCAAATCGGATCACACATCTCTGGCAACAGCATTCCGTTGTCCTATCGTTTGGTTGTGTTTCCCCTTGTTTCTTTTCTCTGATCTTTGTCGTTTGTTCTGAGAGTCGAGGTCGACTCTCGCCGGAGGGGAAGGCTATGTTACGAATTTGTAGTACGACTATGATTTACGCATGTCGTTGTATTTGGTTCTTGTCTTGTGGAGTCCAGTGTCTGATGTCATAATGGTCTAAGTGTACGCGCGAGTATGGTGTGATGTGTGACGTTTATGGTATGTGGTGCATGCAAGAGTACGCGTTGTCAGAGTGTGAGGATGTGCTTCCGTCTGTGTGAGCGTGACTGTCAAGTGAATGCTATACATGCGCAGTGCTAGTTTAGTCTGGGAATGAGAGTCATGTGTGATTCGTCCGTGGTCTGGTTGTCTTGGCCTTGGTCATGTGTTCTGTACGTATTAGTCCCTGATTGGTCGTTTCGATGTGTTCGCCCTTTTCTCTGTTCTATAACTGTTGGTTGTTTATTATTTCTTTGTCTTTTCTCCCCCGTTCTCCCGCCCACCAGTTAGTTATTTATTACAAGAGATCTTATTCAAGAAACTGTGTCGTCCTCTTGCCCGCGTGGATGAGTCGGAGAGTGGTTGTGTGGCGGGGAGCGGGGGAAATTCCTTTACAAAAGGGTTGTTTCAATAACTCCCTCGCCGCTAGGAGCTGCATCAGCCACCTTGGTAAAATAAGGCATGATGGAGGTGGCCTGGCACAAGCAACACGTGAATAGCTGGTTTTGTTTCTGAGCACAATTGTATAGCCGATTGTCACGCGGATGTGAAAGCTTTGCTTTTCTCTACCACCATAACCTTACTTCACTTGGCAGTACCTACCTATATCGATGGCTCATGGTTCGATTGAACAACGAATCCTTTGGAAGTTCGTCAGGTTTATGTCTCCTGCAGGCAGTGAGAAGAACAAGCCAAACATTTGTGATACTGGCCACATTGCCAAAAGCCATTACAACTACCTCATGGCCTGAAGAATCTTTACCTCTTCTTGCATGCAATTGCTACTTCAAAAGTGCTGCAAGAAACTGTAGCACCCTAGGCCACACCAAACACATTAATTGGAGGTTGTCCCCCATATGTCCCACACTCAAGGAACATCGTAGCAATTTACTTTCCCGGAGATCTGCTTGGTCCCCAGTACAAAAAAATAGAAGCCAAACCTGCCAAATTTAATGGGATAATCCTCAATGAATTTAGTTGGCTTGGCCTATTAAAAGCAGCTTTATGGTTGAGCAGTTCACTGTAACTTAGTGTAAGCCTATTTGAGAACTGACCAGCCTAGTGCAAACAAACACCTGTCATTGCTGGCAGGTATTCACCTTAACCTTGTCATTTGAACAATAGCATACCTCTGTGCTGTCATGTTTGTTGAAAGTAATATCACTGCCAGCCCTCACCAACACCGTCAAGCTGCGTACCTGATAATCATGCCTTGTTACTCTGATATGATCCAGTGCTATCTAGCTAGCTTAGGCAGGCTGTGATTGCTTACTATAGTCATGAGTGCACATGTACAGTGCTGGCCAGTGCAGTCCAGGCCACTCGATCCACAAGCACTGTGCCCCCCCCCCCCCCCCAAGTCACATGATACATGATGATTATGTGAGCTGAGCTGGGATACATTGCTGTAGGACCGGACATCAAGGTCTGCTTAACTGGGGGGGGGGGGGAGGGGAGGGGGAGGAGGGGAGGGGGAGGAGGGGAGGGGGAGGAGGGGAGGGGGAGGAGGGGAGGGGGAGGAGGGGAGGGAGAGGAGGGGTGCAGACAGTGAGCCAGTGGTTGAACTTCACTGGCCAGCATTGTACAGTCATGTACCCTGATAAACTGCATGTATCAGAAAAACAGGATATTCATAGTATGCAGGAGAGCCTGTGACTTTCTGCATTCGTTGGAATGCCACTACCCTCAGGGTTCAAAGCATCGGATTTTAAGCTTCTAAAGTGATGGGGGAAAATCCATCTCAGTGATAAAAGCCTCACAACCCCAATCGCTGCAGCAGCAGATTTGTCACACTATAATTATGAACAAAGATTTGCAATGATGCGGCATGTACCTTGAAGACATAGCAAGCCGAAGAATACCCACAACAGCACAGGACTAACCTGAAGAACGTGTGATGTTCAACTATGCTCTTCCACACAATCTTGCAGAGGCTCTCTCGCTCAAATCGAAAGTGGAATGTCTCGCTGCTGCTACCCGTACACGTCTTCTCGTCCACTGCCACGGTGAGGCCTAGCTTCTTGCGATGGAAGAAGACTTCTGTCACCTTGAACCACTGATGTATGATCTTCAAGTGAAGGTGCGGCAAATCACCTTCAAACACCGAAATGCCCTCGTGGGACACACCAAGCTTTCCTTTCGACTCTTTCTTGTCCTGTAGGAAACAAAACGAAATCAGCTTCTGTTTTTTACGTAATTCGGAAGTCGTGTTGTGTTACAAAGAGTGTCGACCCAGCATGGAGATCACTGGAGCTGGGTAGAGACCCAGCCCTGTTACAATGCTCACGGTGAGAACTATTGGGCGTTTAGAACAAGAGCAGCAACATATACTATTTGTTGGATCATGGTGGACTAAAGGAAAAAGAACAACAATAGCCCTCTCCAAACTCTCTTTCTCTCTCGCACCCACATCCATGTGTGTGTGTGTGTGTGTGTGTGTGTGTGTGTGTGTGTGTGAGTGTGCATGTGTGTGTGTGTGTGCGTGCATGCGCGCGCACACCCACACCCCCACATACACATGCACATTTAGACACGCCACACCATCCAGTAATAAATATCATTTCTTGGACTTCTAGGGCACTAAGACATTGTGAATAGCTAACACGTACAAGCATTGTGTTGTAGAAATGAATTCCATAGAAGCTCAGCTTGCTGCACTCCTCAATGAACATATAATCTGCTTCAGTTGGCACCATTTTCCTGTGAATTGACAAAAGACAAGGAAACATTGACATTTCATTCCTAAAAAGTGATTCTCCACTCTTCCATCGAAACGTTGAGGTAAGCGGGTCAGCATTTCTAAGAATTACTCTTCCTGAAACTGTTAAACAGGCAAACCAGCAATCTTGTGTTTCGAAGGTGAATGCACAGCCAAACCTGTGGAATCTTGATCACTCAAACATTGATTTTTAAGGGAAATACTTCTCATTATCCGGACGTCCCAATAAATTGCGTTCCGTAATACGGATGCATGCTGCAGATGCAGTAATCTCACTCTGGGTACAAGCGCACGAACATTAGATTGCAGGAATCATACATGCATAGGTTAAAGTAATAGTATAGTCACAGCCAGCGCATAATTGAAGGACATGCAGAGCACCACACTAACCAAAATAGCATAAGAGGCTGCCCTTACCCATGAGTCGCATGTAGCTTTGCAACACGCTCAACAAACTCGGGTGGCTGAACACAGAGAAAAAAGAAGTCCTCAAAATTTAGGAGAGCATAATGTCTATCTATACTTGGTGAAGGGTGTGCCTCAGTCATTTTCATTTTCAGAATTGTTTGCAGAATTGCAATGTCCCTCCAAGGGTAGCATGATACCTTTTCTTACCAGAAGTGCAGACACTTCACCACTCCACATGCATTCTGAGCCCAGTTTGTCATTCATCTTAGAGTAGAATACGAAATTGCCGAACATGCCCCTTTCAACCAACTACAAACTAAAAATGTTCCAATAATATTCTAAAACTGAGAAAGCATACTCGTACAGTGCTCACCTCATTGTCCAGCATCGAGAAGGATTCCAAGTACCCATCATCATGCTCTAACGGGTCATATTCGCCAAACTCAGCTGTGAAAAACCAGCAATAAAAATACAAAATTAGATAAATTGACGCCATGCCATTCCTCTGTTTTGCCCGCTCTTACACAGCCTACTGTAGTATCAGTCTCCCTGTCTCCGTGTCTGTTTCTCTCTTTGTGTCTATCAGACTCTATCTGTCTGTCCGCCTGTCGGTCTGTATGTCTGGCTGTCTTTCTGTCTCACTCACATACACACACATACACACACATACACACAAACACACACACACACACATACATACATACACAAAGACACACACATAAGTCATAAGCGTCCACACCAAGTTCGTGATATCCATGCATCCCTCATTCCAGGCCTAATCCAATGAAGATCAAAGGCATTGATAACTTGGATCAATAGAGGAATCGGTGCACCTTATAAACCCACATTACCTTTTGAAAGATTGGAAATATCGTGTTACCATAGAAATCTCAACATTCTGTTTAATGATAATGCAGGACGAAGTCTATACTACATTCTTAATTTTTGCCTAGTTTGCATTATTATTGGGCGTGGAATATTTCTCTCACTCAAAACAAGAAGAAGCACAGTAGGGAGATGTAAATGGACTTACACTGAACTGCCAGAGAAGCTAGAAGAGTGGCAGTGTCAACAGAGCACGGCAGTCTGGACAGATATGAAAGTAAATGCAAATGTACACAAACAATTCACTGGAAACATGCACACATGCATGTAAGTCGACTGGCTACTGATCGAAGCCTATTAAGTGCTACAAAAGGTTGCACGAGAGGCAATCTAGAGACCAAGGTGGTGGTCAGAATGATGATGTTGGGAGTGATACTCACCCGTCCACGTTGGCAAAGGGGTTTATCGAACTCTTCACTTAGCTAAGTCAGTGGTGGGAGTGGCGACAGGATATGTAAATATCACAGATCCCAATGTGGCACACCTGCTGTTACCTTTGTGTCACGTCATGCATGAGTAATGATGTTTTGCTCGATGAAATTACCTTCCATTGATGAGGTCTTTCCGAAGTTGAAGGCAGAAGAGGTATCTAAAAGAAGGAACAGAACATCCGGTATTGCATGGGAGACAGGGAGAGAAATAGTGTTAGGGTTTGCATGTATCCGACTGCTAGAACTCAACGGTTACGAAATCGTAACGGTTTCGGTTTCTAACGGGTTTCAAGCACAGGCAGCCGAACGAGAGTCATTTTTTGCAAGGTTTACTGTGCTCAACATCATGGCATAACAATCAATGACAATCAATTCAAAAGGTGCCTTTAAACCTCCAGCTTCCATTTCTCTAATTGCCTTCCACAAAATCTAGACTCCACTGAACAGGGAATGTCAATGAGGCTGACTTGGCGTGGGACTTTTATACCCGCAGTCACGTCGCGCGCACACACAGTTGGACAATAGCTAGCCCAAGACTAACCGTGTTGCTTCATCCTGGAGGTCACTCGGCTTGGAAGGATAGAACTTAACCAGGAACTTGAAGGAATGGGCAGCATCTGACAGACACAACGGACAGAACAAGGTCGGAATCACTGGACTTCATCAGTGACATCTCGAAAATGGTTTATTTGGTAGTTGGGCTATGAAAACTGAAAATACAAAGTACAGTGGAACTCTGATCATACTCCCCCCCCCCCCCCCCCCATAGGGAGCAAGAAAGTGTTCTTAGTGTCCGCGGTGCTTCTTATCCCGACATACTTCAGTGTGGATTAATCCAGCAGCGCTGCAAACAATGTCCGTCCTAAGCAAAAGTATGTCTTATCAGCGTGTGTGCGAAGTGAGTTCCACTGTAGTCCATTCTTCCAAGCAGTCAGCAGAATAAGCAGCAGCAGCATCATTGTTGAGATAACGATATGTGTAGTATGCATTGCAAAGTGATAATCTAAATCAGTGAAAACATGCTCACACGGTGGACAAAGGAACCTTACCTCGCAGTTGTTTCTTGATCGGTTTCAGCGCATCCAGCCATTCCTATATCAAAGAATTATATCACAAAACATGGGAATGGCATCAAAGCGTTGCAGCGTTGCAAACGTACACGTGCATTCCTACAAGTCCATGGAAAGAGCAAAGTTAATATCAAAGATAAGCGTCAACGCTTCTTGCAGCATTTGAATAGGCAGCGACATGGGACAGAAGTTTCAAAAGCGCAAGCAATAGCACAAACTGGATCGAAATATCATGAATGCGTTGCTGAATAGAACTGTGTTGGAAGAAATATTTAAAGACGATGAAATGGGGCTTCGAACTACAGGTAGACTCCCTCTAATTCGAATACGGTATAATTCGAACATTCCGTGTAATTCGAACTTTTTCGTCGTACCGATCTTCTGCAAGTCACTTCAAGTCAAAATCGAATGCATAATTCGAAGTATGAAAAGTGTGCCGGTTGGATAATTTGAACCCAGTCTTCGTACAGAAGAGCTGTTGATTGGCTATGTCCTTTGAACGCTTATTTCGAAGTGAGATCGAGTTGCTATCCTTGTAATTCGAAGTTCATTCTTTTCTCCTTCTCTAGCCAAGAGTAGCTCAAAAATCGATCGATGGTCCGCTGCAGGATCGACTATAGCGTTCAAGAAACCCACCTTCTCTCGAAATTTGATTCAAGCCCGTGCGAGGCAAATTGCAAAGGTTTGATTGAAGACGACTTCTTCCAGGTGGCTGACTCTCTTCGCGGATCTCGATGGCCTTTCTTACCGCGCCAGCTCGTGCGCGGAGGTGTTGGCGCACAACAACACTATTGTCGTAAATATTGTCTATGCCTTTGCTCCACTTCCGTTCTTCAGAACGACGTGCTGCTGTCCAACGGCCTTCATGACGCGGATTAGGCAGCGCAGTTCTTTTCCGTTGGAATGGTTTCAGGAAAGCTGCAGTGACTGACAACTTCTTCACTAGAAGATGAAGATGTCAGAATGATTTTGTGTCGATCCAGTGTTTTGATAATCCGTTGTACATGATCGCGTACCGGTACGACCACCTATGTTTCGTTGATGCAAATAAAAATGTGCAAACAATATTCAGCATGCGATTTCAAGCATTTTGACATACATATCAGTGCATGGGGCTGCATTTGGATAATTCGAAGTTCCGGATAATTCGAAGTTAGGGCCTGGCAATTTTAGGGTTCACGGATTGGCATGCTAGCGTCGCCAGCTACATCATGCACGTGACAGGCGCGTGCATTATACTGTCCCACACAATCGGTCAGTGCTCAAATCGCATTTTCCCATCAATATCACTCACTTTCAACTCTACGGGATTCATTACGGTTGGCTCAAACTGCCTGAATTTTTGAATCCACACGCACGAAAGACGTTCCAAGACTTCCACCGTTCGTATTTTTTAAAACGAGTTCCGGGTTTTCCAGTAACTTTGGCCAAAGTTCGGCTAAAAAAACAGGGGGAGCCGTTGCGTTTCCGTAAAATACTGAACGGTAGAAGGATAGCCAAGGTCGAGAGCAAAACAACAAGCCATTATTTGTCAAAATCGAACAAGAAACGGCTCAGCGCATCTATTTTCCGTGCACGCGCGCGCGTACTTTGGCCGACAAGGTGTGGAGAATTTCTGAAGAAGAAGAATAACAAGAGCAGCAGCGCTCGGAACAGCCGTGCTGGATACTTCCAATCCCGACGATGGAGCGTGTTGGCTGTCGTGAGCTGCTGAAACGACCATGACATTTCTTTTTCTTTGTATACCCTAGATATCTTGACGTGCCCTTGCTCAGTTTCGGCCTCTTTACAGGAAGAATATTTTCTTCCATGGCATCAGCGGCCAAACAGCAAGAAGAGCAACAGATCGAGATTTGCAGGGCAAACAAAGGATGCGTGCAGCTACATCTAGTCAGGTTCGATGCAGCTGCGCTTTGCCAGAACCTCAGCAGATAAGAAAAGACGACAGAGTGTCTCAGATGGAACTGGCTCTTTCGCCAAGACCGCCACCGCCGCCATCATCAAGTCCAGGTCAGTCAGAAAAATGCAAATCCCGAGTGAAGTGAAGCCACTGAAGCCAAGGAAAAATTCAAAAAGTACGCTCTCCGGCTAGACTTCGAGTCGATATTTTTTTACTTCGATAGGCGCTGTCGCGGCCTGTAGCGCGTCCATAATCCAAAATGGAGGCGCACGTGACGGGTGCTTTTAGTGGCAAGCCGTGAACCCTAAATTTGAGGTTCGAATTAAAGGGAGTCTACCTGTACATGTAGTTTCCGTGCAATACTCTTACACGTTGGTGGACACCAGTCGTTTCTTGTAGCTCTGTAATATAAGCAAATAGAGTTGTGAAGACTGCCACAACTCAATGGTGCTGCTATTCATGCCGTACCTTTTATTCAATGTTTTGGTCTTAGGCCTTTAGGAACCTAACGAAGGTCTGAGACTGAAACATTGAGTAAAAAAATGAACTTGGAGTAAAGTGAATACAGAATAGCAGCCCGATTTGAATTTTGGCAGTTACTCCCAAACCCACAAATTGTCTTTCCAATATGGTAATGTGAATAATGTATTCATTTTCTCATACCTTCAAACCTTTCTCATTTTCAAATCGGAGCCCAAAATAGTCCTTTTCTCTCACGCTGACGTAGCGAAATGCTTCTTCCAGCAGTTGGTGCCCAAATGCCTTTTTCTACAGCACACAGTGACCACCACAGACAAATGATATGATGAGAGCCGACAGGCCGTGTGTAAAGCGTGCACATACACATTATACACACACGCACATGCACACACACACACACACACACACACACACACACATACATGCGCACCCCTCCCTCCCCCCCCCCCAAACACACACACACACACACACACACAGAATGATGACATTCAAATATTGTGCGCTGTGCAAAATGAGTACGCATATCTTGTATCTGCTAGGCAACACTGAATAAAACGGCGCCGCTTGAATCCTAATGGCGGTGCAAAGCCTCACCTTCTGAGTAAGGGCAGCATTACTGTGTCACTTCACCAAATTCCGAGTACTAATGTGGACACAAACTCCTAATATTGACATCCCCATTCCCTGCTACGGCTACCTAGCAATGACTCCGAGCTCCATTCAGAGCTTCTTAGGATAAAATTCTATTTCGTTGCTTCTCCGAAATCGCACTTCCCCCATGCTACGGAGTAGATTTGATTGCAAACGTGATAGCATTGACATGTCTCTGACAACCCTGCAGCATGTTCCCACCATCTGAAAAAGCATGCAGCTGCTCCAGATTGCTCCAACTATTACATTGGAAATTCTGGTCTAACTTCCAGCTGTTTTTATAGAAGAGGACGATGAAACTTCCAGCTGTTTTTATAGAAGAGGACGATGCCGAGATAGTCAGTCCCCTCAGCCCACTGGCATAGTGTGCCACACAATGTGCACCCGAACACATAGTGATGTATCTACGCATGCTATCTCTTCACAACTGTCAACCAAGAGCTGATATGAATAAATAGCTCCATCACTTGACATGATTCGAATGATATCACTCCAAAACATGATGGCCAACTTTCTTGTTTTCTCATTCTCACATCTGTACAATGCGGATGCCCTAAACATTAGGCCCTGATCCGAAAAACATTCAGCAATAATTTCCACTTCTGGGTGGGCAGATATCATATTGGCAAACACATCACCCAGATATAGCAAGCTGGTTTTGTTTGCAAATCGTGTGGCCAAGGCAAACACGTTTCTCTGTCTCCAGCAAAAGTTAATGGCATCAGGTAGTGACGACATTAGCGTGGGGAACAACCGAAAAAAAAGAAGAAGTGCAAAATACAATTTACTTACACTCAAATCTAGAGTTATATCAGTCTCATCTAAGAGCTCCAGACGACATAGAAGGATATCTGGCATGACGCTGACTCCCAATGAACGTCGCAGGAAGCAAAATACTAGTACTCGTTCTCGTCCTCGCTAGATCAGCGCGGTCAGTGCATCGCCCAGATCGCTGGCGGTCTTCTCCTTCTCTCACCGAGTACCGGTGTGCGGCGTGCGTACGCACCACCAACGCTACCAAACGGAGTGAACGATGAACGAAAAATCTCAAGACGGCGAGCCTGGATTCACTAGCGGATAGCAAAACTACCGGTAGTGGTACAGTGATTTCTATGAAACATGCAGAGGGATAGAGAGTTGTTGATCTCAATGGCCACCAGAAAACAGGCCAAGCAGCTCCAGGAGGAGGAGGCCTGTAAACGTGCTACAAAAGTACAAATAATTATTGAACACCAGAACACCGGTACTCGGGCGGTAGTGCAGAAGTAGTGGAGTAGAATGTAGAGTGATGGGTCGAGATCGTAAATGACACCTCGCCACTCTGCCAAGAAAAAGACCAAAAATACTGTGTGCTGAAGTCTTTCGATCTTTGATTGAACCTAGTACCTGCCCATTCGGGCAGCACTACTGTGTCATCAGTGAATGCACGTGTTGTGCGCCTACGCAGCGTATCTACATGCTGCATGACCATGATGACAGCGATGCCCAACAAAATACATGCAAGGCACTGCACTGGTGTTGCAGATGCTCAGATCTACATACTACCGGTATTACAGTACTCATTCTGCGGACAGTACATGATTGTACAGTAGCCTGATCTATTTGTACTACATGTACATGCACATTGTAGATCTACATACAGTACTAACATAGCCATTGGCATTGTACTTTGTACTGTAGTAGGTCTACCATGATTGTATACCTCAGCTCAGTATAGATTCTTGTGGTCGGTCTACCTACAATGCTACAGTACATACCTGACCTGCTGAGGCTAGCTTTGTAGATCTACACGTGTGCAGACTGATCAGTGATCTGGCACGGATGTCACACGCTGAGTGTGTGCGTGCGTGCGCATCAACACCGGACACCGGCCTTGTGCATTACCTGATTACCATAAATGATTACAGTATGTGCGAACTACAGTACATCGTCTATGTCACGTATGTGTATGTGTGTGATTCAGATTGTAGCTGCTACTTTTGAATACTTGTCTTTACTACGACTTTAGTTTATTGCGACTTCTTGGTGAGTTGTTAGGCTCTATGCCGTCACACACGACAGCCTGGTGCCGTTGTGGGCCTTGTGGCACCGACATCTAGTGAACTGCTACATACTGTCGACATGTCGTGTACTGTACCAGGAAGTGTTTAGTTCTTGTCGACTGTAACTGTAAGTATTATTATACACGTAATAATGTACATGTACGCCTTTTCCCTCTTATTCTTTGCGCTGAACTCAGGGGGTGATTGGTTTTAATTTTCTAGCTATTGCAATGCCATTATAAGTGGTTGACCTCACTAAAAAGAAATCTTTGGGGTATGATTCATGTACAATTCATGTACACTTCTAGTACGCATACATGATGTACCTGACAAACTGTAATGCATGGCTGTATTGGTGGGAATGATTCGAATGTCACTTGTTCCGTGATCATGGTGATGGTGCACTGTAAGGAGTAATACACTGTACAACTAAAATAATCACTTCAGAAGTTCAGTAAAGGACGGTGCATAGACCACCCACTGACTCTGTGACCCAGTGTAGTGGGCGCGCCTGTAGGTACAGGTACATGTAGGTGGTGTATGGTGTGTCTGACTGGGTACCATGGGTACCACTACTACACACACTAGTAGTACACTACATTGTACTAAGCTAGGCTGGGGAATTCAGTGGCACACATAATCCCAAGGATGGGAGCCATGGAGCATGGGTGCAATTATGTAAAATGGTGTTTTGTGGTTCGCTCTTCTCCATACATGTACATGTACATTTACTGCATGATTATTCACTCCGTGCCAGCCTACATTTTTCTATAAACCATCCCAGGCAGGACAGGCGCGTGTCATGTACATGTAGATCTACATGCGTCTAGAGTAGCATTATGACCACAAACGGGGGGCTGTGCTAGAGTGGAGCGCTGATTCGTTCTGCCAAATCGCCTACGCTACTCTCTACAATAATTTCATTTCAAGTACAGTAAGTACAATGTACAATCATGTAGTCGTTGACTATTGCTACAGGCACAATCATGTACATGTACAGGACATTGTCATGTACATTTAGAAGACCGTAACTGCATAAGTACCGCAGCGTTTTGAACTAACTATTACTTGAAGTCGGCAAACTCCAAAGCAGACACTCACTTCTCCATCTGTTTTTACAAAAATAATTTTGTTCAAGCTTGGCATACATGGCCCATTGCATTATCAGCGTGAAAAATAAAAGTTGCAGCAGCTAGTAATCAAAGGGTAAACTAATTACTTGCACTAGTTGCAGTCATGTTGCTGGTGTGATGAGGTCGGCCGGAGAGCGCTTGTGGTGGATAGGCCCCCGTGTAATATGCCGGCATTTTTTTGAGCATTTTCGGTACAATCCGCGAACCCAGCACTTTGGGCTCGTGATGCAGCATTTTGGGGGAAACGGAGCACTTGGCCGTTCACGGTTGTGTATCAAAATTGAGAGAAGAAAAACTTCCCAAACAAGAACGTCACTTCCGCATTCCGTGGGTTAGCTTCTTGTTGAGTAGTTTATGAATTGTTTACCATGGCAGACTGGAGCAAGTCTCTTATTGAGTATTTTCTGACTCCCTGGTTTTGACGGCGTGTGCTGAGGATGACAAAAAAGTGAGCATTTTCCGAGCATTTTCGGCACGGTTTGGGAGCATTTTCGGCAAGGTTTACGAGAATATCCCAAAAGCATTTTCGGCAAAGTTTCGGGCATATTACACCGGGGCCTAGTGGTGGAGGTGGAATTGCTAGTAATATCAACATTACAACAATCATACCCTTCTCTACAGTCCACAGGCACAGAGGATACACTGGCCTTCGTGCAAGCCTACATTGTAGGCAGGGGATAAAACACAGCTGATAGTGATAGATACTCAAGTCATGAGCTTTCACTCCTTCCTGGCCTCGGTTTGCGCCCAAGTGGTTGCGTTCCGCGTACTTACTCAGTGTAATAGCTTTAGAACTACCGGTATAATATGTATACACGTGCACGATGTAACTGAAGTTTCTGAACGCAGTAAGTAACGTTAGTTAGTAAGTAACTAATCTTAGTAGCAAAAGTCACACCGTCTGCTGTAGATCTACAATTTACTACTATTTACTACTAATATAGTAAAGACCAGGATAACGGCATTTAGTTCGCGTAGATCTATATCTACCACCAGTGAGTTGTATTGTCATCACTTGGGAGTTGGGTACACAAACCTAGCTAAAGTCTGTATAGTAAGTTACATGTATAATATTGGTACTACACGTAGTATTATAATTACCGGTATTAGTACTGGTGCAGCGGTGAAAGGCTATGACTGTAATGTTACGTACAGTACTGACTGCAGCAGACAAATGTCTACATTGCCACGCTGACATTCGTGGCAGTGCACTGACTGTGTGCAGGTAAAAATTAATGTTACTTTCCAATTATGTGATCTACCTCATGACCTCAGCTCAGGGCATCATGACACTCGTCAGTCCAGTCGTCGGTTTTATGACGAAAGCCAAAATGCTTGTGAGAAGTTGTGATCACTACACACTAGCTTTCCCCTGTGGTACTTGAGAACAGGTTTATTCACAACACGAATTGGGCCAATCGCGTGAAACTATGAAGTAAGAACCAAAGCAAAAAGACAAGAAATTTCGGAAGTAAACACAGACCGTAGAACACTCAACTGAAATGTAAGATTGAACACTGTGGTACTTATGACACTGGGCATTCCATGTCTATACTATCATGAGTATGATGACCATGGAGCTCTGCCTATCGAAGGCAGTCAGACTCACAAGACAAAATGAACTTCGATAACTGGCCAAAGATGAGGTAAAGTAACTTCAAGATCTTCGGGGCAACATTAGGCTTACGGAGAGTCAAAAATCAGTTTCTCCAATTGCAAGAACTGGATAGCTTCTGATACACTACATGTACAAGTACACTGTACTCTCACAGTCATTTTCATATTATGTATTATGACTTGTAGTTACCGAAGAAGAAGGAAAGCAATTCGCAAGAAGAAGAAGAAGGAAAAGAAGAAGAGTCAAAAATCTTCCAATTCGATGCTGGTGTGTCCGTCCATTGAATGCTTATGGTGGTATGCTCTTACATCCCGGGTCCCGCTCACACGCATGATCACTTCGACTGATTGAAGAACGATTAGGTAGATTATGTGGCAGAACTAGAAGCTATGCTACTTTCCCGCGAGGTTAGTGCCATCAAGACTCAGGATTCTCGCCTTGGTACTGCGTTCTAACCCTGATGACTCACACGATCAGGCTACACTTCTGACTTCCTTTGTAATGGGACGTCACTCGTCAGTCCAATCGGTAGAGTACACCATCCGTGGATGAAGTGAGTTTTCGAGGCAGCTGCACCGACATACATGTATATCTAATGATGTATGGGTACTTCTTTGGTTGATGGATCACAGAAGAGGTATGATTGACTGGTGACTATGAGTATGACGGTATGAGAAGCAAACAATCATCACAGGCATGGCTGTGCATGGCGTGTAGCAAATGACTATGGAATGGATACAATGCATGATTACACAGCAATGACGCGACCAAGTTCTTTCCCGCCGTTACTCAGAGTTTCGTGCGAAACACTCATCGAGGACCTTAGACAATTGTACTAGTATTAAAACTAGGTACTGTATGGTAAAATTCATTATTAATTTCATCACAAGACTGCACAGCTCTCCGCATCAGTCATGTGGCCTTTCATTCGTGAAGCGATTGTATGGTGTTCATTGATGAACGAGGAAAGGTCAGGTATGGATGGCTGGGTTCATTCATGAACGAAGAAAAGCGAGGATGACCGAACCGCATGCTTTCCATTCTCTGACTACATGCATTGTAGCATTGTATGAGTCTTTGGCATACTGTACACGTATTATATTTGTACAAAACCATTTTCATTTCCACAATGACCCATACATGTAGATGACCCATGGCCAGTAATTATAAGGAAAATGCAAGGATTGACGCAGTGCAGTCCACTTTGAAGTACTATTCGACAACACTGTCAACAGTTCTGAAGACCTTTCAAGGCCGTGTAAACAGTACTCTAAAGCCCCCAAGCCCAAGGCCTTCCTACTATTACTAGTATTAGTACTAACTTACAGTTACATGATTGTACATGTACCATGTGTACTTGTATCTACAAAGGTGATGTCCACCAGGATCTGAAACATGCCATCTCAGCTTAGTCCATACCTAAGCTGAACTGGAGCGTTTAGAGCTTTAGACATCTTGCAAGCTAGAGTAGAGTAGCTAAGCCTTTGTTGAGTAAGAAAGTTACAGTAGATAGATACATGTACGAAACAAAATCGAAATTA